GAATGGAATGGATATTAACGGGTGACTGATAAGATATTCTACTTGAAATAGTCCACTTGAAATAGAAAGCTCTTTTCCTTGGATTGTTTCCCAGCACTCACCTCTATTATTATTATATACTTACTCTAAATTCAGCAAAGCACATCCAGTTGCAAGGACAACTTCTCCATCTTTACTGAAACGTTGTTGACACCAAAACTTCCCATACTGTTTTCCTTCCCTCAAAAAAGCTCTTATTTAAAGTGTGGATACAGGGGCTGGGGATTTAGCTCAGTGGCACAGTGCTTGCCTGGCAAGTGCAACGTTGTGAGTTTGATTCCCAGTACTGGAAAAATACCAAAAAAAAAAAGTGTGGATTCATTTCTATTAGGAATTTAAAATGTTGACAGCATTCCAATTGGAAAAGGATTAAATTCTTGAATCAGCGGGTCTCTACTGAGAGATTTCCTTGCAGATCAGACATTAGGTTCATCATCACCCCCAGAAAAGGACTTGGGAGTTTTACCTGAAAAATATCATCTTGGAAATATTCTAAAATGGAGATTCCTTTTTCCCAGTATTCATGCTTGTTCCAGCACACACTGCCCTTCATCTTTTCATGGACAATAATTAGAGAAACAACTTATTGACTTCTGTTTTCATCCCCCAGTACCCTACTTCTCTATGGTTTGGGATCATTTCTGAGTTTTCAGTTTGAAGAGGGAGAGCGTGGAATGAGAGGAGAAAGGCCAGATCTGCCAGGCTGCTTGTAACTGTTTCAAATCCACAGAATTTTAATCTTGAATCCCAAATCATCTTAAGCTTGCAAATAGGGGCAATTTATGTAGTTAAAAGGAGGATTTTAATTATTCAGGAGTTTTAAGTCCAAACATCCAGGAAACATTTCGAGCCTAACAGCCATTTAACCTATGAAATCCCTAGAGACCTCACAAGTGCCAGGCCAGAGATGCTGGGAGGAAAAACAGAACATGAGGACAACCCTGGGTTGGCTAAAGAATGCTTCTTTATAATTGGATATCTCACAACCACGTTAATCCATTGCTTTCTCAATGAAATACTGACTTGATTTGATGAGAGAAAATCCTAATATTTCCAGGTTGTTTTCCAAAGAGAAATTTGAATGTTATCTGTTGTCTCTTTAGTTTGAGAATTAGGTTTGACTTTATTTACTTTCTCATTGCAACCTAAAAGAATTGTAAATTGTAAAATATATGTACAAAAATCAAAGTCAAAATGAAGTCATACAGATTTGGAATAGCACTTTACCTTAAATATCATTTCTTGAATCCTCAAGCATAAAGATTTTTTGCAGCATAGTTGTTATAAATATTCTTATGCATATTTTTTTCATAGTGATAAGCATAGTAATGTTCTGCAGTATAATTTCTTTTAAAGTATTGTATTTATGAAAATGAGCATAGTGATGAGAGGTTTTAAAGATTTGTATTAAAACATGATATTTTAAATTTATATACATGCATAAATTTCTATTGTACTTTCTCTCTTGGAGCAGCATTTTCAGAAAATTAGTAAGAAAAATGTAGATTTTAGAGTCTACAATTTTGCCATATACACAAAATTTTACTGTTTTGATGTTTCATGTGCCTATACTGTTTGTTACAAAGCTAAAGGATTTCTGGAAATTATGTACTTAATGGAATCAAGAACAAAACTGTAGTGGAATGAGTCTACATCTTAAATATTTTTTACACCACTGTAAATTTTACTTTGGAATTGACTGAGTAGAAAAGCAGAATAAACTTTCTAATTTCTGTAGACAGTTTGTACTACTGAGCCCTTTGCTCAGATTATAATTTCACTAATAAATCAGATATGTATGCTAATATTTTCCTATTTCAAAATCAAAATAAAGTGAGTTTATAGTTATGTGTTTAGGACAATTTTCGTCTTGAATAAGGGTTCTAGATAGGATGGTGAGTGGGCCTGTCTAGATTATATTAAGATATACTAAGATGATTTTACAAAACCCTTTATTTGAGTATGTCTTGTGTGCTAGCTATTGTGCTAGACACTTCTTATGTGTTGTCTTATTTAGTCCTTAGTTTATATTATCATGGTTTTGTAGCTATGGAAACAGAGCCACCAAGTCATACAGCTCAGTAGACACACTGCAGGGACTCAAGTGTGAATCCTATAAAACTGGGTTGCTGCTGGATACTGGCCCCTGGGAAGGGAGTGAGGTGCACATTTTGTCCCCAAAGTGGGTTTGACCTTCCAAATTCCCCACTCATTGCTTTCCCAACCAGAAGTTACTTTTGAAGTAACTTTCCCATCACCAGGGCCTATTTGATTCTTACTATCCTGTTCCCTATAGGTCTAATTCTTAAACTGTTTATTGATAGGAAATTGTGTGAATTAAGGATAGATATCTAAGTTTCTCACTTCATACTTCAAAGTTTGAGTCTTTTTAATTTTTTTAACTCCACAAAAGATTAGATTTTTTTTATACTTGTTACAGGAACAGATATCAGTGAGAGATGACTGTAATTTTACCACACAGGCAAGAAAAATATTTGGTGGGAGAGTGCAAAAATATTAAGTAAAGACAAAAAGACTGACCCTGAATGCAAAACATTTTGTTATGGCATTTTTCAAATGTACTCAAAAGTACAAAAAATAACATGAACTTGATGTACCCATTCCTCAGCACCTACAATTAACCTACTCCTTATCTTGATGAAGCAATTTGAAAGGTAGTAATTTAATACATCTTCCTTCAGGTATGGAGGAATAACAACTTGGCAAGAATAACTTGTTCATGTTACCAGAAGATACGGGTGGTTAGTACAGGATCATCTATTAACAAGACACATCATTTACAAAGTGAATTAAGGCCTTTTTCCTGTTATGATCTGAGTCTGAATTGCAGATTCAAACTTCTTCCTTCTCTCTTCTGCCCCCTGTGGGATTATCTACCTGAAGTTTAGGGACGTGTTAAAAGTATATGTAAGATCATCATTACGGTCATTATTGCTCTTAATTGTTTAAAAGTCAGAGATCTCTTTTAAGGATTTGGGACTTAGATTTTGCCTAAAATTAAAGCATCTTATTTTTGAGGCTGTAATTGACATTAAAAGGTATTAAATTTAGCATTTTAAATGCAGTCCTTTAAAAATTTTCTCATGGAATTATTTATTTTGTGATGACAACTTAGGTCTTTTCTCACTAAGAAAATTTTGGTGGAAGAGCTGGAGATCCTGACCCTAGAGTGGTTCTCATTCCTGGAGAGCTGGTTTTTGCAGCTGGGCCCAGAGCAAGGTCTAAGTGTGCGTCACGGTGGGGAACAGTCTGGACGCAAGAAAAAGGGAGGTGGGCAGCCTCTTCGTTCCGCAGACACCCACGGCCTTGGGGTCTCTAAATCTACCCCGTAAGAGATGGAAGTCTCTACCCCGGAAGAGATGGAAGAATTCAGGTATCTGGTTTTAGTTTCTAAAGTTCCATCAGCAGAAAACGCTTTTCGGAATCACAGTACTTATAGGTCTGGTGTAAGCATTCACACTGACGTAGGGTTTACAAGATGCACACAGCTTCAAAACCAGAAAAAGCATTTTTAAATTGAGAAGCTACGCAGCACTGCCATCTGCTGGAATTAATGATTCCAAGCGTTTGCACGTGTCTTAGTAAGTGGTAAATAGAAAAGGAAGGAAAAAGGAAGGAAGGAAGGGAAGGGAAGAGAAAGGGAAGGGAAAGGGAAAGGGAAAGGGAGGGGAGGAAGGAAAAAGCCGTTGAGGGTCTCTCCTCCTTTTCCTCCTCTTCTCTCCTCCATTTCTCTTTTGTTTCTTTTCTCTCCTCCAATTCCTTCCTCTTTCCCTCCCCCTCCATAGTCCCCTCTTTCTGAAAATAGGGAGTATCCAATATTAAGTTGTACATTCTTCTATCTCCTGAAACCTTCTCAATAAAGGCCTTTACACACAAATGGCCTGTAAAGCATTCTTAGTTTTGGTGCTTGTTTTGGTTTTTACCTTGTTCTTTGTTCCGGTGAGATTGCTGGAGTTGACCAGCTTCCTAGAAGGAAAAGAACCCGGAGAGCAGTGAAGTTACCATGAGCCAAATTAATGCAGCTGGATTAGGAGCTAAGAGCCACTTCTCAGAGTCAGTCTTGGCTGCTCAAGGCAAATCCAGGGAATGTTAATCGTGCAGCTTTTCCTCAGCCCTCTCCAGTAGGTTGCTTCCTTTTTTGAGAAATTTATTGTAAGAGAAAAACTCTTGCTTTAGACTGAATTCCTTAATTTCTTGTGTCATTCTTTTCATGCATTCAGAAAATATTTTAATCCCAGAGTCAAAATTGAGCAGTTTTCTTTCATTTTCCCTTCTGGGCTTTGTGTAAAATTGTGAAGAACCTGTGATTGCAGAATGTTAGAGCTCAGTGTGGTTCTCTAGAATCTCTCAGTCTCTGACAAGAGCTGACCTATCTGCCCAAATCTTTCACCCCGTAGTTTAAGAGTATTTAGAAAATATTATAAAGTGGGTAGGTAGTAGATTCTAGAACCAGATATCCAAGGTTGTTCTTACTAGGTAAATGACCTCGGGCTTATTTAATGTCTCTGCAGTACAAAGTACTCATTTACGAAAGGAAAGGATAAAAATGCCTATTTATAGGGGCTGTGTAAGGATAGTGTAAGCTTAATACATGTCCTGCACTTAGAGAGCACCCGGCAGAATTAGCTGGGATTATTCAACTCATAGTGCACAGTGTCCAACCCAAGCTAATCCTTCAGTTTCTTGTGTTCTCCCAGGAGGTTGAGTTTTTCCAGTTTACACACCTTCACTAATTCTGGTGACTTAGCTGAGCTGTTACCATGAAAGGCACTGAGAATTCTAGTTCATCTCTTTCTGAAAGAACCTCTCAGCTGAGAGTAGTCATGGCATTTCTGCACATGCTTTTGGCAGTTAGATACTGGTTTTTAGACACTGGTTAAATAAAACAAAATTTTTAATAAACTTCTGGGTAAACATGACTCTGCCAGAGAAGGAGGTAAGTGTGGTCGAGGTATGTTATGATGTAGATCCAGAATGTTCCCCAAATGTCATGTTCTCACAGGCAGGGCTTTTGGAACGTGATTAGATCATAGGGGCGCTGTACCAGTCAGTACACTGATCCACTGATGAATGCATAGTTGGATGTGCTGTTGCATTTGGGTTCTGGTCTAAAGAGGTGGTTCACTGGAGATAACTAGAAGGGTGCAGTTTTCTCTTGGGCGTCTCACTTCTCTCTCTGCTTCATTTTTCTGTGATGTGAGGCCCAGAGGCTCCATGCACTCCTGAACAGCTAGTAATGCAGCCCCACAAGACTGTAAACTTCTAGTGTTATATGTAATATTTAGCAATATTTTTTCATAACTGGACTGTAAGGTACTGGACCATGGACTGGACTGTGTAGATCACAAGGGCACACTCTGTAGGGTTCAATGCACCGTAGTGCTAGCTTTGCCTCCTGCACCCACCACTCAAGTAAGCAAAACTCTGTAATTACTTTGTAATTTAGAGACATTAAAAAAGCCCAATATCAGACATTGCGTATGCTTGTATAAAGTTGTCTTATTATTCATATACATTAATTGCATCACATATTATATATGCAGCCTAAGACAATTCCATTTTGCTCAGTGCAGCCTAGGAAAGCCAAAAAGTTGGACACCCATGTATAGGTCAGCTGAAATGAAGCACTAAATACAACCAAGAGGCAAAATATTTTGAAAAAGCAAACCGCTCAGGTACAAGGTGTAAAAAGTGTGCTTCAAAAGGACATGTGTGGGAAATCATAAGCACAAAAATAGGTACCCAGTGGATATTTTGATTTTGGCTACATTAGTGGAAGTATTGTTCAGAGAAAAACGAGGGAATCACTCCACAAACGTTCGAAACCTCACTTTGGGTACTGAGTTAAATTGTGATAAACACACTTTGGAGAGGATCCATATTGACTATGAGGAGGAGGACACATAAATGTCGTGGGGAAAGGGTAAACGGCAGTGCAATATTTGAAAGATGTCTCATGGGACAAAGGACACAACTGTCATCCCGTACATGAAGGTATAGAGGTAGACACTTGGTTTCTGGCTGCACAGTATCATGTTACTTCCAGTAATTCTGCAAGATATTCATTTGATGGCCAACCCATCCCTCTGGAAAACTGCACTGTCGCTGGATGATTTAATACATCAGCCATTACATTCCCATTTCTGCTTGGGTAAGTCTGAGCTAGATTTTTTGCCATCTGAAGCCTTAGTTCTAATTAATACAAAATCACCTTTAAGAAGGATGGACTGGGGATGCAGCTCAGTGGAGCAGTGCCAGCCTGGCAAGTACCAGGCCCTGAGTCTGATTCCTGGTACCACCCACCCCAGCAAAATAAAAATAAATAAATAAAAAGGAGACCTCTGAAGCCTCCGAAGACAGCTAGACTAAAATGTGTAAATCATAGACTAAAAGTCTTCTGTTGAAAGGAATAAGTTCATAAGAATAAGAGCTATCTAAAAATGAAATTATCTATTTAGGGAGATAAATCTAGCTTCAAATTGATAAACTGATAAAGATCTTTTTAAATCTCAAGTGTGAGAAATTATCTACAAACAGTTATATGTTTTAGAATAGTAACCACAATGGTAAAATTTAAAATCATTATAAACATTCGTTTTTGTTCAATGTTTAATATAGCTGTATTTTCATATGCTAGTTCCACATTTTTTAGTATAATTTTTTATACATTTCAATCTGTTAATGGCTAGTAAATTTAGCAACTTAATAGACCCTAAAGCTTACTATTGTTTTAAATTAAAGGCTTATGATTGTATCTTTATTTTGATACTATGACTGTATTTCGTGTGCAAGCGGGCCCTACTTGGGAATGTAACCTTTAGTTCATTATTACCAGTGGGCTAAATGATCTGCTGTGAGAGGCAACATTCTAAAATATTTAAAAGGCATAATGTCATCCTAAATATCATTCTTCCTCTTACAGAGATAAAATAAACAAAAAGCAACTATTTAAGTAAAACAACACACTTAAAAACTTAATTTATAAGATACTTTGCAATATATATTTATGTTTGTATATTCTTAGAAAAAAGATCTGGAAGGATAGATATCAAAGAGATCACCTTAGGGGTATAGAACTGGGGTAGGGAGAAGCGAGTAGATGAATATATTTCTATATTATCTGAAGTCTTACAATGAGAATTCATTATTTTATTTTAAAAAATCATAATTAAATTTTTTGGGCAATACTAAGGATTTAACACAGGGCCTTTGCACTGAGCTACATCCCCAGTCCACTTCTTAGTTCTTGTTTTGATACAGGATCTTGCTAAGTCACTAAGTTTCCCCAGCTAGGTCTGAACTTTCCATCTTCTGGCCTTATCTTCCTAGCGTGTAGGATTACAGGCCTGCACAGCCATGCCTGGCAAAGTTTACAAATAAAAATAATAACAATAAGTAAAACACAATAATTTTAAGAGCTACAATGGAAAAGTAGAGAATTAAATCAATGTGGCATACTTCTCCACTAGCACAGTGACAGTATATAATTGTGTGACCTATTGTCAAAGATACCATATCAGAGAAACCATACCAGAGCATCCTGATTTTAAAAGTTCTTGGGATAAGAACCCTCAAAAATGGTTGAGAAACTACTTTGAAGATTACAATATGCAATATAATAACCATTGTTAATTTCCTATTCTCTTGTTTTGAAATTCTGTATCATTGCTTTTATTTTCTTTTTAATCTAAACTTAAAAAAAAAAGATCCCTCAAGGCAGATACTGAAAGTGAATCAAAAGCAAAGCTTAATTATTCCTGGAGCATCTACATGAAAAAATGACAATCTGAAAACTTCAGACAAAAAAAAAGAAAAACTTCACAGAAGTCCCTTTGGAAAACTGAAACAGTTAACAAGGGCCAGAAACTAGAGGTAAGAGAACTCCACCCAGCCAAACCAAAGCTAACACATGAAAATCATGGTAATCTAGTGATACAGTTTAGGAACACCAATTTTCCCTATTTGTTTATGAGTTCTGTCAACTTCTTAATCTACTTTTTATCTTCATGATTTTAATAAAAAATACTGTGATTTTAATTGAAAGGAATACAATGGATTTCATCTAGATTCAGTTTTGATTTATTTTTCTAGTTAGAAAATAGTACAACAAGATTAATATTGTCCATTATTCATTTTTGTTATAATTTTGAATTACTTAATGGACATTTTGGAAGATCTTTCATGGATTGCCTAAGTTCTGTATTATTTAGAATTTGAGAAAAATCTTTTTTCTCCTATCCCACTTTTTCTCTAAAGGTGACTTTTTACAATTATTTTTTTCTAACAAAGAGGATTCTTTAAGTGACTTACCAAGTGGACAGTTAAATATATTTGTTAAAGTCAAAACAGCTGTAACTGGAACATTCTCATGTTCTGCAAGTTACATAGTTAAGAGTTTAAGTCATTTTTTATGTAGGGTTACATTCACTTTATAGATAATGTGGGAAATTTGACAAAATTTAATTAGAAAACTATTGTAAATAGCAGAGATAGATAAGGGATATAAAGTCATGATGATTATACCATTTTAAAAATTACAACAGACAGATTGCTGCTGTTTCTGAATGGATTGTAATATTTTAACTAAAGAGAAGAGAGAAAACAACAAAACATCATCAGGTATAAAAATACTTAGCATGATATTTGATATACAATAACTACTCAAGAAATACTGACTCTGTAGCGAATCATGGATTAAAACAAAAGGGAAAACCCAAAATGAAGGGAAAAGCTCAGAACTAATTTCCTAGAATATGTATTTAGACAGGAAGTTGAACTCACAGAAAGCAGTAAGGAATTCTGCATTTTCAGGTCCTATTTTCTGGGCTCTCTCACAGTGCTCTGTAGCTTGCCTCTTTTCTCCCTCAGCTTACAAATCCCAGGGCACTTAAACTCTGCACATCAAAAGCATTGTGACAAAGTCTCTTGGTAGCCAATTTTTTCAGCTCATTTGTCAGTTTGGTACATAAGGATGGCCTGTCTTTGACCTTTAAAGCTTCTAAATAATGGTGGATGGTAGTATTTTCTGATTTATGGTGAAATTCCTGAAAGTGGCTACAGCGGTAATGGATCTGATGTTTGTGATCATCAGTTATGTTCTCCAGATGCAGGGCTTTCTGAAAAATGTCTTCAGCATTGCAATACTGGTCTCCTGCCGCATACATATTGGCAAGACCTGTGTAGGCAAATGCAAATATACAATTTAGTTCCACAGCTTCTTTGAAATGAAATACAGCAGATGTAATCAGCTCCTCAACCTTCACTTATCTTTTCATTTAGGTCTGTTGTGTGTCACCTTCTTGATTTGAGTCATGTGTGCCCTGTAGCAAAGTCCCATCTGGTGATGCAGGAAAGAAGAGATTGGTATCACCTCCAAGGCCTTTTTTTAAAGTTCAAGAGCTTTGTCCCAGGAATCTTTTCTACTGTGGAATTTGGCTGCATAACAAAGGACATAAGGCTGGGATGATATCTGGTCTAGGATTTCTTCAATATACTTTTCTCCTTCAACTTCTGCGTGTACATCTTAAAGCTTCAGTGCCAGTAAAACTTTAATGTAGGTATCATCTGGAATTCGAGTAACAGCCTTCCTCAGAGGTCCCAGGGAAAAGCTCTTCACAGATCCTTCTCTGTCAAAATCATCCAGCAGGTACGCTGTGACAGCATAGCCAATGTTAAATTCTTGGTTGTCAGGTTCTACTTCCAGAGCCTTCTCAAAAGCTGCTTTAGCCTTTTGGCAATACTTTGCTCCAAGTTTCAACAGTGCCGGTCTTTTCTCACAGCCGACCTCAGGACGTTCCAACTTGTAGTTAGAAGGACTGGACCATTGCTTGCAGACATGCCCTACCTTGTCTACATACTTCTCAACTTTTTCAAGCTGGTCCATGTGATAAAACACCCAGGTATAGTTTCCCCAAGTGACCAGACTTTGAACTTCCTTCTTCTCTGAGTATTCCTTCTAGATTATTTCTTCTGCTTGTTCCAAGCACTTCAGAGCACCTTTATGTTGGCCTTTCAAGTGTTTCACATAGGCTTATACATTATAAAGAATGAGTCTTGTTTTTGTAGTAAGAAATTCAAGCTGTTGTGCAATTGTATCTTCTACATCAAACAGATCGATGTCTTCCTTAAGTAAAGTGACATCTAACTCTAACAAAACGGCCTTCAAGGAGTCCTTAGGAATTTCACTGTAAAAGATAAAATCATTTTTTAAGAAATATTTTTCAAACCTTAAAAATTGTTCTTTGTGCATCAACCAATAAGGTCTCTTATTTGATTGTAAAGCACTAGGGCCCCATGACTTCATTCTAGAGATTCCTTTATGTACAATTATATCCTAGAAATATTTCATTTAAATTCCTATTATTTACTGCAAAACCAGTTTTAGAAAGATAAGAGGGCTTTCTGTGTAATAGGTTGCCTATTTCCTTTTGGCAGTCATTAACCCTTGAAAATTAGGAATAAGAAGTAAAGATATATTCAATAATGAATATAAAAATTCCATTTCTGTACTTTGAGTAGTGAAAGAAAAGAATGAAAGAAAAAGAAGTGCACCAGAGGGACAGAGATTATAATACATTATTTTAATGTATTATTTTTGCAGAAAAAGGGAGAAAGACAGCAAACAAACATGTTCTGCGAGACAAAAAGGACAGAAATAGACAGTAATTGGTACACCAGGCAAAGGAAAGAATCTAAGTTTGAGATGGGGAAGAGCAACAGTGATTGAAGTAAAGAAGAAAGGGAAAGAGGAAGATTCAAAGGTGTTTATGTGAGCGGCATATCCTTGCCCCCCTCGAGACCATGGGCAATGATAAACGTTGACACTTTAACTCATTATTGTCTTCCAGAAATATCTGTGGAATGCCCTTTGTAAAAGACACAGCATTATCTCTGCAGCGCCCACTAGAGATATTGTTTCTGAACCCAGGATGCTGAGGTGGAAGGCAGGAATAGGGAATATGTTTTCATCACTGAGAGCCTTTTGGTACAAGATCTGAATAACTATGGCAACACAACTGTGAATAAGATACAAGGTTGTTTCTACAAAATTTATTTTTTTAAAATTTTTTTTTAATATTTGTTTATTGCACATTTTTCTGTCTTTTTTTTTTTGGTTTTGGTTTATTCTCCGGTACCGGGAACCAAACTCATGACCTTGCGCTTGCCAGGCAGGTGCTTTGCCGCTGAGCTAAATCCCCAGCCCTCTACAAAATTTATAAGGGAAGAATTATATGAAGCTTATAGGATTATAAGGAAATCATCAATTACAACTCAGTGCTCCAAATAAGTCCCATAGAAACGACTTGGGGATTATATACTCTGGAGCTATGGACGTCATGGCTTTTACTTGTCAGTTGTACACAGCAGAAACCCAAGATCCCATCTTGTGGTTTTCTTCATTGGAAACACCTCTCCCTCCAGTCTCAGTTCATCCAGTTTGAGAGGAAGCAATACAACTCTCATCCCAGTTCTGTGGGAAGGCGCTAACCTATTTCAATAGTCTAAATAAAATCTAACTTTGTTGAAATGGAACCTTGCTGGAACTATCTTTCTTACCTCTAAAAAATTTTAAGCTGGTACAGTAAGCTTGCAGTTGTTGGTAGCCATCTTTCCAAACCTTGGGGGAGAGCCTGCCTGAGAAAGAATCTAACACAGGGAGTATAGACCACTCTTTCAAGAAATTTTTCTATGACAAGAGTAGAGAAATGCGGGCTGGGGATATAGCTCAGCGGCACAAGCGCCAGCCTAGCAAGCGCAAGGTCCTGAGCTTGATTTTCCCAGTTCCAAAAAAACAAAACAACAACAAAAACAACAGTAGGGAAATGCAACCATAGCTGGAGGGAGAATTATTTTTGTAGTCTAAGTCACTATCTTCCCTTTGAGCTGGGGCAAAAATGTTGTCTCTGCTTCCATTCCTGGCTCTGTATGCTCTGATCTCCTCACAGCACCATACACTTTTGAAAGAGTAACTAGATTATGTAAGTCTCCTGCTTAAATAAACCCAGTGCTTAATCTCCCAATGGCTTTCTGACACCTTGGATATTAATCCAGCTCTTGCTAAGTGCCACAAGTCCCGGTAAGAGCCAGCCTTGTCTATCTGTCCAATCTGTCGCACCGTTCTCCTGCTCACTCACTGCGATTTAGGCGTACTGACCTTCCTCCTGTCTCCAGCATAGGAAGTCTTCGGGCCTTGTCACTTGTTCTTACTCTCCCTAATATGTTCTGCTCCCAATTCTTGCATGACTAGCTTTCCTGTAATTCAGTTCACATATTTCCTACCTAACAGGCTGCCTGTGACCGAGCTACCTGAAATAGCAGTCTCCAGTTTGGTTCCCTCTCTAACTCCCTTATATCGTACTGTTTTATTTTCCCTATAGTAGTTATCATTTTCTGGATTATGTTACTTACCTACTATTGTCCATTTCTCCACTAAAATATAAACCCCATGAAATCAGGGACCTTGTTCTGATTTTATTTTTTCACCTGTGTGTATGCCAGGCACATACCAGAAGCTCCATAAGTAAGTATAAGCTGAATGAATAAATCCAGTATATACTGTCAGCTACCGATATGTCCAGCCCAGAGCAAAGGCCTAGCATAAAAAGCACATGAATTCCATATGAGGGAATTCCTACCGTCGCACCCTACCAGATGGTGACTCCAATTTTTTCTCCCAGTTCAGTAGTCCCTGTCCAGCTTGTTTTATATCCTGACTCGCACTCTGTCTGGCTCTGTGTTTAGATTCTCAAAACATATCTTGGATTCCCATGATCCAGACTAGGAAACTAGATAGCACTGGCCTTTGATAACTGCTACTTCTTTTGTGTGTGTAGCAACAGCACGGAAAAGGCATGCCATGCCCTCACAGATTGCTCAAATCCAGGAAGTATGCCCTTACTCACCCCCTGGCCAAGAATGAGCAAATGAACACCTGCCTTCGCTCCATGATCGTCACTGGCTCTGCCCCCGGAGGATGAGGAGGGTTCCTCAGGCTTTGGAAGCGTAGCTGTGAGATCTCAAAGACAGTCAATCAGGTAGGAAGTGCTTTGCTCAGACTTTGGAATTCATGCACAGACACCGTGGGAAGTTTTGCTGTTTAAACTTTACTAAATTTTTAATTTTGTCTCTGGGAAGCTGAGAGAGACTATGATATCTGAAGGGCAACATTTATTTTTAGATAATTTTGTTCTTGTGCTAGTAAGGAGCAGATTTTCAGCTTCCGAGGGAGGTAGACCTAGTGAGGCCAAACCCTCTTCTACCCCATCCTGCATACAAATGCAGGGCAGCCTACACCCGCTTTCCAGGCTTCTTCCAGCTCCTCCCATGTATCTCCAATTCTCCGATAGACGTTAGAAGTGAGTCACTTACATTTTTAAAATTTGTAATATTAACATTTATTGTGCAAATGCTATGTGCTAAGCAGTTGGTTAACCCTTTCCACAGTACCAAGTTGCATTCATTTTACAGATAAGAAACAGACTCGAGTTTAAGAAACTTTGCTTTGGGTCATCCAACTCGTAGGTGCCTGGAGTTAAGATTTGGAACAAGGGACCACAGTGTGCGCTTCTAGAGATCGAGACCACAACCTCACTATTCAACTCCTTAAGGTGGATGGCTCAATAGCAAGAGAAGCACCCTACCAGGATGCATTAGTAAAGGCGACAGAGAATTCCTCACAGAATAATGGGTTGAGTGGAGCGATAACAATCTGTGAATCAGAACTCCGTGCCAGGGATCAGAAAAGCAAAATGGCAGTGGAGACAAATGTAACTCCAGGGGCGCAACTTCCTGTGCCACCCGAGGGGAAAGGCAGTCCGAAGAGGCCTGGCAAGGGGGCAGGCGACAAGCCCCGGACACCCAGCACTCAAGAGCGCCAGGAGCCGGGTCTCCCCGCGGGACAGGACGGAGTCGGGACGGCGAGGAGCAGCGGCGAAGGGCCGGACCGGGTGGTCCCGACGCACCCCCGGGGCGCAGACCTCTGGCTCCGGGGCTTTGCGGCGCGCTGCTCCCGGAGGCACCGCCTGCAGACGCTCGCAGGTCTGCACCGGGGAAGCGGCGGTCCCTGCCCACCCGGTTCAACGGCCACCGAGCGCGCTCCGGCGAGCCGAGCGGGGCCGGAACAGAGCGGGACAGCGGGCCGGGGAGCGGGGCGCTCTCCTAGGGGCGGCGGAGGTTGCCGGGCCTCGCGCGCTCCCAGTACCCGGCAGCGGCGGC